CCCTCAAGGCAGGGAGCATCCAAGCCCCAAGAGAGTAGAGCGTGAGTGCTTTGGGGCTCAGAGGTGGTGAGAGGCCACGAGGCCGGGTGGGGCAGTGGTCAGGCAGCTTTGTGCAGATAGTGCCTCCCAAATTGGGCCTCGAAGGTTGGTGGGTTAATATTTCAATAATAATAGCATTTACCACTTAATGAATTCTCTGCTGTTCCAAGCATTTCAAATGATCGTACATGACCCTCAAAATGGTCCCATTTTACACTTGAGGAAACAGAGATTCCTAGAGAGGGAGTGGTTTTCCTGAGGCCGCACAGCTGACAGCACAAGAGCAGGAATTTGAGCCATGTCTGTCGGCTCAGGAGACGTCCCCCTCCCCACCTGCCCAGACGAGGCACGACCGAGCGTCCAGGGGGCTGGAGGGGGGCATTCCCAGACGAGGACATGCACAGGCAGAGGCCTGCCTGGGAGCTGGAAGGAGGTGAGGCCGAGACCCAGAGGCCCCCAGCAATCCAAGGAGGGGCTGAGTGTCACCGAGGCAGGCCCAGGTGCCAGTATGTGGAGGCCCCACAGGGACGTGGCCCTGCTGGCTGACCCAGGGCGCAGCAGGAAGCAGGAGCTGACATGGGCCCAGGCCCTGGCACTGGGCTCCAGCACCCACAGAGGGGCATTGTCCCTGGGCAGCAGGCATGGCCGGCTGGGGAGCCAAGGAGGAGGCATCTGCCTCTCTGAGATGCGCCCAGGAGATTGGCCGGGTCCTGCCTGGAGTCCTCCTGGCTCTGCAGCATCTCATCTCGAGGTGTTCATGGCCTTCGGCATGTTTGCAGACATGGCCGGATAGCGAACACTCCTCACCTTGTTCCTCTTGGCAAAACCAGGAAGAGGAGACCAGCCAGGGCCTGGCCACACACGGTGTGACCTCAGGACACTCGCTGCCCCTCTTTGTCCCCCTGCAGATGGAGACAGAATTCAACAATGTCACCCCAGCTCTAGACCACAATCCCGTGCTTCTAGGCAGAAGTCGGGCGGCAAGGATGATTCCCCAGATGATGCTAAAAGGCCATGTTTGTGGCACCACCGCCCGCAACGCTAACCCAGAGTCACTGGGGAAGAACAGTGTGGTCACTAAGAGTGTGTGGTCTGGACTGGGTATTGGGCTCAGGTCCCAACTCTGGAAGCCCTGGTCGTGTGGCCTTGAGCAGGTCACTCACCGCTCTAAGCCTAAGACCCCCTTGTCAAGTCGGGGTGTGGACGCCCCTCTGGGTGACTGTGCAGGAGAAGTGAGCCAGGCAGCGAATGTGGGGGTCCTACTGGGCTGTTCACATCTGCCCCTTGGTCATGGTCATGCCTCGTTATTCTTTCACTCCACAAACGTTCACTGAGATCGCGAAAGGTACAGACGAGGCGACGTGGGTGCTAACTGCTGCAGCGTGAGCGGATGAAAGCCCGTCCCAGCGCTGTGTGGGCATGCGCCGCAGTTCCCGCTTGCAGCAGCCTGCGAGGAGGTGCTACTACTATCCCATTCTACAGATGAGGTCACTGAGGCCCAGAGAGGCAAAATACCTTGCCCAGGGGTACACAGCAGAGAAGTGGCAAAAATGGGACTCAAACCTATTCTCTCAAGTGAATTAATTAATGGAAATACGTAACTTTGGATGCCTTTGGGAATAAGGGGTAGGCAAGGCTATTCCTTTCTGTTCCCAGGTGAATTATCTGGACTAAACTATTACCGTAACCTCGCCACAAAGCTTGTCCTATTATACGCAATAATAGTAACAGCAGCAACGACCACTCCCATTTACTGGGCGCTTACTCTGTGCCGGGGCTGTGCTCCCAGCCCTGTGCACTGTCTCCTCTCAGCACCCGAGAGGCAGGTGCTATCAGTATTCCCATCTCACAGATGAAAAAACTGGGCTCAGAGAGGTTATGGGATGCCCCCAAGTCACACAGCCTGGAAATGGTGGAGCAGGACTTGAACCCAGTCTATCCCATGACACCCCAGTGTCCACCGAGCTGTGGCATCATCCCAGATGGGTTTTGAAGTCAGAGCTCTGGTTCAAATCCTGGCTCTGCCACCTGCTCGTTGTGCGAGCGAGGCTGGTTCCTCCTGAGGGGGGACGAGGCCCCACTGAGACAACCGATGTAAAGCCTGGGGTGGCACTTGCCACGTCTTAGTTGTTCATTCATCGTCCCTGCTACTGCTCTCATCGTTGTCCCAGGGAACCGGCTGCCCCGGAGGCAGGGAGCCCCTTGCGTGGCTCACGTCATGCCTGGTCCAGGGCCCCTGCCACGTGTTCCAGCGCCCCACCCACCTCCATGCCAGCCTGGACCCTCCTTTTCCCAAACCTCAGGAAGCTGCAATCTTGGGGCTGCCTCCATGCCACGCTGTGGTTCACCAGGAGCCACAAATATTTACCTTGGAGATCTTAGCCCAGCCTGAGGCCTCGGCCCAAAGGCAAAGTGTGGCCACCTGGGGTGTGCAGGATATAAGGCCGGATTTCCAGACCCACTGCCCAGGAGAGGAGAGGAGCGGGCCGAGGACTCCAGCGTGCCCAGGTAAAAGCGTAGAGAAGGGGCCAAAAGCCTGGGTTGCCAGGAAGGTTCTGAGTGAGACGCACCTGCTGGGATCAGGTCCGGAGCACAGGGGAGGCTTGGCCCCCAGGTAAGGGCCCCCCGTCAGCCGGTCTCACTGAGGGTCAGGGCCGGGGCATAGAGAGGTGCCCGGCTTCCTGGCCAGAAGACCAAAGAGCAGTGACGACGGGATGGGACTGGCTGAGTCTTTTCCTGACCTCATCCCAGTGACACGAACCCACTCTGCACACACTGATCTGTGCCCCACTGTGCTGGAGTGAAGCTGGGGACAGAGAGAAGCATCAGACAGTCTCCGGCCCCCAAGGAGCCCCCAGCATGGGCCAATGTGGCACGTGCCGTGCCCGAGGAAGGCCCAGGGGCGTGGCAGGGCAGGGCAGTCAGAGTAGGCTTCCTAGAAGAGGTGCCGTGTTGGTTGCAAGGCTGAGTGGAAGGTGGCTGGGCAGAGGAGGAGAGAAAGGTGTTCCATGCAGGGGACGAGCATAAGCACAGGCCAGGAGAGGAGATGCCACGTGGGCCCTTGGATTTGGAGGAGGAGACGCTTCTCCCAGGAGGGGATGCACCATCCTCGTGGACCCCTGCGTCCCTCTGATCAGGACAGGACTGAGTGGCGTGTGAACACAGTGGAGGACAGGCAAGGTCAAGGTGTTTGGAAGAAAAATGTTACGGAGTTGGGGTGGGGAGTGCCCAGACCAAACAGCAGGCTGTGCAGTGTCACCTCTGTCTTCCAGCTTAGACTGCAAGGTGTCCCCTTCTGACTCCAATACTAGTAATAATATTAATAACTGGTCGTGATCATAATGGCGGCTAACACGTATAGAACACAGCGGCATGCCAGGCCACAGATGGATTGTCTCATTCAATCCTCCCAACAGCCCTGGGATATAATTATTCCTCATTTTACAGGCTAGAAAACTGAGGCTCAGAGAGGGTAAAGCACTCGTCTAAGATCACAGAGCAAGTGTGGAGGCAGGCCTCCAACACGGGTCTGTCTGACTCCCAAGCCCGTGACGTCTCCCCTCCATCCTCGGGCCTCCTGACTCTAGCGGGTGGGGTCCCTGTGACTCGACAGCCCAGACCTCCTCAGCATAGCGGGCTCGGACTCCCAGTTCTTTCGGGGCTCCCAGAGGCCCTGCATTCATTCAGCAGCCATGTATTAAGCACTTGCTGGGTGCCAGGCACTGTGCTGGGTGCTGGGACCCAGTGGGGAGCAGGCAGACCCAGCCCTCCCTCCTTATTGCGGGGGTCCCAGAAGAGCTTGCACTGCTCCCGACCACAGGAGACACATATCATCCAGATGCCACATTTGTCTTCGCAACAAGAAACCCACATGCTAAGCCAAACGAGGGCTTGGATCTGGGGGTCCGTGTCTCCCCTCCCTCCGAGTGGGACAGTCCACAGGGGGCAGAAGCTTCCAGCAGGGGCTTAAAGGCAGGGCCAGGGCGCAGGCTGGAGAGCTCAGGGCTGGGTTGCAGTGTTGATGTCCCGCCCTGTGGGAGGGACAGAGCGACCTGTTCTGGGGGCCAGAACACCCTGAGCTCCTCTCCCCGGGAGGTACCACAGGCCTCTCTCTCTCTGCCTTTCTCTCCCTGGTTCCAGGGAGCCACCCATTCCCTCCCCAGGCTCCTTACTATTGGATGAAGCAAAGAGCATTTCTGAACACTGAGTCCTTCCTAAATTCTTATTTCTCTCCTGCCTCCAACCTTCCTGGCCTGAGCCCCAGGGCATCATTTCTCGGACTGTGGTCCAGGGTTGCTGGTTGCAGGAGAGGGAAAGCTTTGCAGAGAAAGTAAACATCTAGGCAGGGCTTTAAGGGATGTATAGGAGTTCGGCAGGCAGATAAGGAAGGAGAAAAGCATTCCAGGAAGCAAGAGCAAGGGCGAAGGCACGGACGCAGGAGAGCACAGAGCACATTCTGGGAACTTCGAGCTTGAAACTTGATAGAGTGAGAAAAGAAAAAGCAGGAGGTGAGGGTGGCTGAGGCCGGATCGTCGAGGGTTTGAAATGCCAGACAGATGGGGTGGGGAAACCAGAAGCAGAGGCGTTTTGTCCTGAGCGCTGTGGTGGGTTTTCTATAAGAAAATAGCTAATATCTTCGAAGTGCTCACCGTGTAAGACTGTGCTAAATGTTTTCTAGGTAGTAACTCATTTAATCCCCTCAACTATGTCAAGTAGGGGTTATTATGCCCATTTGTCAGATAAGAAGACTGAGGCACAGAGAGGTTAAATTGATTCTCTAAGACCACACAACTGGCCCCTGGCAGTTAGCCATTTCGCTAAATGGCTTCTCCTGGATGCAATACCCCAGGTCACCGGGCATCCTGGGCCTGCCCTTGGCCTCTCTGCCCAGCCAGCAGGGCCCTCTGTGCTCTTCCCAGCTCCTGCCACCTGCCACCTGCTGTTCACCAACACCCAGGAAGATGGCCGGCCCGTGGTTCTTCACCCTCCTCTGTGGTTTACTGGCAGCCACCTTGGTCCGAGCCACCCTCAACCCTGCTGTGGTTCTCAACCTCGGCGCAGAAGTCATCAGAGAAAGTAAGTCTTGGGCCCTCGGGCCTCACTTCCACAAAACAAGGGGGCAGGTGGAGCAGCCCGCCACAGGACGGAGGCAGTTCCCCATTGGAGGGTGTGCAGGGCCCGGCTAGGATCCCAGGACTCAGTGAGACGGGAGTGACGAGTTACAAAGGTTTGGAGTATCTGTGATCTAAGGAGTTCGGAGGTGAGGGCGATCTGGCTGCGACGTCTGTCACCCCACTGATCACCACGGTTGATTCTGCTGATCTGGCTGGCTGGGCGGGTGTCCCCGTCCTCCCTCACCGCCCTATGTGGGTCCCTCCCGAAACCGTGAGCTCGGTGGAAGAGGACGAGCTTCCCCGATAGAGGAGGACCGTGCTTCGGTCAAGCGTGTACGCGTAGCTGCGCTCCCTGGCTAGATCCTCCAAACAAGCTCTCGAGAGTCCATGACTCCAAGAGCCCCTTCTTCTTAAATTCCGCGATTCCAAAAACCCACTACTCGGAGGTCCCGTGGCCGGCAGCAGGGGTGCGTGGCCCCTGTGTGCAGTGACTCACCTGCCTCTCCCACTGTCTTGGCCTGAGATCCTGTCGTCAGAGCATCTCCCCGGAGTGAGGCCCGGTGCTCCCTCGTCCCCAGCAGAGGCCCCCGACTGGAGGCTGGTAGCCCGAGTCCCGGGCGCAGCATGTCACTCTCCAGTGCTGTGACCCTGGGCTGGTCCCTGAGCCTGCCTTCCTCCTCTGGAAACGAGTGAGAGGGCCTTGCTCACCGGGTTGTTGGGGCACCCGACGGGACAGGAATCGACAAGAACTTGTGAATTCTATGACTGGCTTTTCAACCTCGGCACCTCTGACTCTGCAGCCAAATGATTCTCTATCGTGGGGGTTGTTTGGGCACCGTAGGATGTTTAACAGCACCCTCAAGCCAGCTGTGACAACCAGAAATGTCTCTAGACATTGCCAAATGTCTCCTAGGGGACAAAATCACCCTGGCTGAGAACCGCAGCTCTAAAGTGTCACCACCTGAGAGGGAACTAATCTGTCTGCTCTGGTGGGTCACCTGAGCCCTTAGAGGACCAGACCTCTGTGTTCAGTGGACCTGGGCCAGGGCCGGAGGGCAGGGGCAGGGCCAGGTCCTGCAGGGTGGATCCCCAGTAGGGACAGGAAGCAGAGAGCTCTGGGAGGCTGGAGGGGGAGGTCGATGGGTGGCTGTGTGCCCTGGGCCCACACAGTGAATCTCAGGCATGTGGAATTTCAGCCAGAAGGAGCTTGGAGAGGAGCGACCATGGTTTAGGTTCTCCCAGGAGCAGGATGTGAGGCAAGGAGTTGTGTGCAAGTGGTCATCTTGGAGGTGTTCCTGTAGGAGAGAGGGGAAGCAAGTCGGGTAGGGGAAGGTGGCCCATGAGGGTGCATCTCCAAGCCACTTACCCCTGTGGGGACTGCAGCTCAGTCCTGCTGGGCAACTGCATTAGTGAGGAATAATCAGGAGGCAGAAACCACACAGCAACTGCAACAGGCAAGTTCAATATAAAGAATTGTTATCAGGGGATTGGAGACATGGGGAATTGGCTCAGGGGGTAAAAAGGGAGAACTCTGAAGCCTGCCTTAGGGGTGGAGGGGACAGCCAAGGAGAGAACAAACTTGGGGGCAGAGAATCCTCCTCAGACCTCACTGGAGAGGGTGCGTTTGAAGCCCACCGTATGGCGGAGAAGTTCAGCAGGCTGCCCCGGCCAGGCCGGTCCACAACCGGCAAGCTGAGGCTGGCAGGAGAGAACCACCTGCCAGGGAGCCAATGAAATTCTCTGGGAAGCTGCCCCTGGAGGAAGGGCACTGCTGTCAACTCGCTGGGAAGCCCCCTCTGGGAAACTGCCTGGAAGCTGGCCAGGGTGCCCGCAGACCTCGCTGCCCTCAGGGGTGCCGCTAACCCTCGGCCAGAGCCACTAGGCTGTGAGGCCACAAGAGCCTGGCAGGAGGAGTACACGAGGGCCATGAGGGGAAGCCCCTTCCTCCTCCATGTCCCTCCAGAGCCTCCACTGCCGGGGTGTAACATGGTGCCAACTGTCAGAGAAGAAATACGCATGAGGCCCAGCTCCATTATCGCAGAGCAGGCAAAATGGGCGGAATGTGGCTGAGAGCAGTAACACAGGAGCTCTGAAACACAGTGGGGACACACGCCTGAGTCATCCTGCCCGAGGGCTGAGGGAGCTGGGGTATTTATACACCAACTCTCATCAGTCATTGGCCAAGTGCTGCCTCTGGGGCATCGGCTGCCCAGCGCCTCTGGCCTGCTCTGCACACGAGCCAAACGGGCTCTGGCCGCTAGTAAACAGCTTGGCAGGGACCAGGCTCCCGACTCATGGCTCTCTGTCCCCAGTTCTTCCGCTCAGCATCCGCGGTTCTCTGGACAGCAGACCACAGAGCGTGGATACCAGAGTTGTTAGCAGGTGCGACCAGGCAGGGCCTCCTGGGTTCCCTGCCTCTCAGCTCTGGAAGTGTTTGCCGCTGGCTCGGGGGAGAGATGCGGGTCCCTGTGCTGGGTGTTGTGACCAACACTCTCAGCAGAGGCTGGTGATGCTCAGGCCCCAGCCTCTCTTTTCATGTGAAAATGACCCGTCTGGGCCACCGTCCTCAAGGATAGCGGTCCTGGCCTCCACCACAGCAGAGATGGTCGTGCCCTAGGAGCCGCAAGGAATCCCCTCCCCACCTCAGGTCCCCGCCAAGCTGTCCTTCTCATCCCTCCTCTTGGACCCTAATCCCCGGGATCTGCCTCCAGAGCTGACACAGGCGCTGGAGGACCACAGCGCCACCGCCATCCTCCAGCAGCTGCCGCTGCACAGAGCCTTGCGAGAGGAGCCGGCCGGGGTGCTGAGAAGCCTCGTGGACGCTGTCCTGAAAAACATCATCTGGTAAGTGCAGCGGGACAACGTTGGGAGCCAGCTCCTTCCCACACCTCTGCCCAGGACACACTTCGCACGCTCAGTCCGTCAGCAAACATCAATTTGTGTCACACCATGAAGCTCCCAGAGCAGTTAACAATAGCCATGAGACAGTGACACGGGAACCCTGATACGACAACCCAGAGGAAAGTCACCTGGGGCGGGAGAATGGAGGGAGAGGCAACACTTCTCCATGGAGGTGACAGTGGAGCCAGCCATTCAGTGCCCACCAGTGCCCAGCCATTCAGTGCCCCCAGCAAGGCATTCCGAGCAGAAGGACCAGCCTGGGCACGGGCACAGAGGGCTGAGAGTCGATCAGAATGGCTGCAGCTCAAACCTCAAGGCAAGGAGTGCGAGCCCAGCGGGGCCAGGTCACCAAGGGTCTTGTGAGTCATCACCTAAAAGAGAAGGAACCATCACAGCATTGCACACAGGAGCGGAGGGGAAGGGCGGCAGCGAGATGCTGGGAAGGAGGCAGTGGCCAGAGATTGGGGTCCTGCTGCTGGCCAGGGGCCCAGGGGAGATGGGAAAGATAGGACGGGAGCGGGGCTGGGGACAAGGCTCATTGAGCATGAGGCATGATTCTTATCTCTCCTGAATCCCATCCAGGCTAAAGGTCACCTCAGCTAACATCCACCAGCTGCAGGTGCAAGCCTCAGCAAATGCCCAGGAGCTAGTCGTCAAGATCCCCATGGACATGGTGGCTGGATTTAACACGTGAGTGTCCCCCCTGTCGGGTGCAGTGGGCCTGACAGGTTCATCCCCTCATTCCTCCTTCTGCCTACGCAGGTGTCTGGGAAAGAAAGTTCCAAGCAGAGAGAAGAGCAAGTGCAAAGGCCCTGAGGCAGCAGTGTACTTGCCTTGCTCACAGAATGGCAAAGAGAGGGGTGGCGGGGAGGGCGCAGGGGGCACTGAGGTCAGCAGGCAGCCAAGACCAGATCACGCAAGGTCCTGTGAGCAAAGGTGAGGACTTGGTTTTTACTGTGTGAGACAGGAGCCACAGAGAGTTCTGAGCAGAGGAGGGACATGATATGGCTTAGTGTTTTTACAGAATCCCTCTGACTGCTGTGGGGAAAACAGACTGTGTAGGGGCAAGAGTGAGGCAAGAAGGCCACCCAGAAGCTACTGAACAGTTCAGGAGATGACGAGGGCTTAGGCCAGGGTTTGCAGCAGGGAGCTGGCGAACAGTGGTTGGATCCCGGGCATGTTTGGGAAGTAGGCGGAGACAACAGGATGTCCTGCGGAATTGAGGGGAATTGAGGGCCTGTGCATATGGAGAGAGCGAAAGGGAGAGGGCAGCGGAGTCAAGGATGCCTCGCAGGCTTTTGCCCGCACAACTGGCAGGACGGCGCGGGCAGGAACCGAGGCAGGGAAGGACACGAGAGGAGCAGGCCTGGAGACAACCCAGTTCAGTGCTGCACCTGCTACACTTGAGAAGCCCAAACGACATCTGAGTAGAGAATGGGTTAAAACTGTGGAAGCTGGCCGGGCGCGGTGGCTCACGCCTGTAATCCTAGTTCTCTGGGAGGCCGAGGTGGGTGGATCGCTCAAGGTCAGGAGTTCGAGACCAGCCTGAGCAAGAGCGAGATCCCGTCTCTACTAAAAATAGAAAGAAATTAGCTGGACAACTAACAATATATATATATATAGAAAAAATTAGCCAAGCATGGTGACACATGCCTGTAGTCCCAGCTACTCGGGAGGCTGAGGCAGGAGGATCGCTTGAGCCCAGGAGTTTGGGGTTGCTGTGAGCTAGGCTGACGCCATGGCACTCACTCTAGCCAGGGCAAGAGAGCCAGACTCTGTCTCAAAAACAAAAACAAAAACAAAAAACTCTGAAAGCTGTCAGCGCACGAAAGGGATCTAAACCAGGAGAAGAATCCCAAAACGGAGCCTGGGACGCACTGGGGTGAAGTTGGGGAGACGAGGAGAAACCCACAAAGGAGATTGAGAAGGGGGCGAGAGCCAGAAAACAGATGGGTGTGGCTTTGCTGCAGCCCCGGGCGTGGGTGCTGCTCACACGCAGCTGCCTCCGCCCCCAGGCCCCTGATCAAGACCATTGTGCAGCTGCACCTGGAGAGCGAGGCCCAGGCCTTCATCCGACTGCAGACCGGAGCCAGCGGCCCCACCCGCCTCGTCCTCCGCGGCTGCGCCACCAGCCCAGGGGGCCTGCGCATCAGCCTGCTGCATAAGTAAGTGCAGCAGCCGCTTCCAGCTGGGCTCCTGCAGGGCCTGGGAGCGAAGCCCGGTGGTGGCCCATCCCCACGAGCTGAGGCCTAGAGAAGGAAAGGGACACGTCCTTCCTGATTCCTGATCTGAGGTTCCTTCCAGGGACTCTGTGATGCCAAAGAAAGATCAGGACATCCAGGGCAGAAGCAGTAATGGTGGGATTTCAGGCGTGACGCCAGGAGGTGGGATCAATATTTGAAGGAGGAGAGAAGCCCCCTTCCTACGGCCTCTCCAACCACTCGAGGCCGGCATGGGAGGTGCCAGGGGTAAAAACAAAGGCACTGGAGTCAGGCAAAAGCATCTTCTTCATTCATTACCTGTTGATGTTGGGCAAGTCACCTCCATGTCTCACCTTCCTCACCTGTAAAATGCAGGTGATGATGCTTCCAGGTGGCAGTGAGGAGACTGGATCAGGCTACGGCCCTCGAGCCTCAGAATAGCGCATGGCACGTGGCAGGTGCCATCCTGCCCTTCTCAGCAGGAGGGGAGGGAGAAACGCCAGCTCCCATCATCCCAATGTCCAACACAAATTTCTAAAGAGGACACTCAGCCCCTGCTCCCTGAGAACTGTCGGCCACTGGCTACACCTGGCTCAAGGCCTACTCCCAGCCCTCTCTCTAACCGGTCGTATGACCTTGGGCAAGTTCCTTCCTCCCCTGGACTCAGTCTCCCACTCTGTGAAATGGACAATTGTCTGACTCTTCCTAATCTCTCTCCACTCTCCTCCGTGGAAGGGTCTCCTTCCTGGTCAACCCCTTAGCGAACAAGGTCATGAAGCTCCTGGTGCCAGCCCTGCCCAAACTGGTGAAAAGCCAGGTGAGTGGAATCGGGGCCTCTATGGCCTGTGACGATTGCTCCCCCTGTGGGGCTGGTGCTCCTTGGGTGAGATGCTTCTGGGGCTGGATAATTCTTTCAGCAAAGCAAGGAGCAATGGATTGGGCCATTAGCACAGGCAGATCGTTGAGATCAAGGTCATGGAACTGCCAAAAGTCGGCCAGGAGGCCTTGAACAGTGATGTGCCGATACATTTTTAACAATTGTCCCTGGTGGGGTTGAGGGGAAGGAGCCCTGATTTTTAGCTTTTGCCGATTTCCCTAGTGTAAACACTCCCTATGGGGCCAATTTTAGGCTACCAAGGTGATGTCACCGAACCGTTAGGAGGAGATGCACAGTAGCACACTATTGTGTAATATTTCCACCAAGCAGATACAATAGACGTGACCGCAGGAGCAATAGATAATAGTAAAATGTAGCAACATATCTAGGAAGTAATGAGTTTTAGGTTTTTGTTAAATCCATTTTTAATATAATTTACTGAATTTTAAA